CTTAATATTATAAAAGCAGTGATTGAAAGTGGAATGTCCATGTGTCAGCACTAGTTTGAAAGGTCTCATCAAGATTATATTTTCTAAGACAGTTTAAGAAATCACATGTTGCTAGAAGAGAGCCACTTCTATTTTACATCACATGCATTCTCTCCATTCTGGTTATCTTAGCGAAGACCTAGAAAGACTACAAAAACGCGCTATGAAAATTATCCACCCCGATATAAGCTAAGGCTCTAGATGCTGTCCGGACTTTAAACACTGGTGTGTTTGCATGGGCTAATTTAAACGACATGGCCCTCAACACGTCTAAAAGTAAGTCTATCTTGATTACGACTCAACAGAAATTTCATCGCCTGAATGATCATTCTCTTGATGTCATGATTAATGGGAAGTTAATTGAACAGGTTCAGCATGCTAAACTACTTGGTGTTACTCTTGATTGCCTTCTTACATGGGAGAAACACATTGAAAATAGATGTTCAATTGTAAACAGTAGACTGTCTCTCTTAAGAAGGATCAAATCGTTTCTCAATCATCACTGTGCTCTATGTTTCTTCAACTCTTGTATTCATAACCTCTTCATTTATTGTTCGAGTGCATGGGGTAATTGTTTCAATTATTTATTGTCTCGTCTTCCTCTCCTTCAAAAACGTGCAGCTAGATTACTCCTTGATGCCGACTTCTCTCAACCATCTGTAAGCTTATTTTCCAAACTCAAATGGCTGCCTATTTTCGACCTTATGAAACTAAGAGAACTTGTACTTTTATTCACTATTCTTAATAATCCTGATGCTCCTCTTTGTCTTTAACGTAAATTCAACTGGTCTGCGCACTGGAGCTTGTGCTTTTAATCTTCAAGTTCCATACCCTAGGTCTAATTCCGGAAAGCGCACATTTGCTTACTCTGCTGCCACTCCTTTTAATTGCCTTGACACTGATCTTAAGCAAATAGCGTGTGTATCTCGTTCTCTTATTTTTTCATCTAGATTAAATAATTTTAAGCATAAACTCTTTATCTTATTCCTAAGTTTGCTAGTAACGTTTCTCATCTTGAAGAATTATTGTGTTATGATTGTCGTTTTTCTCTTTATTGTAACTGTATTAGAAGGTTATTAGTTTACATCATCTTATATCATGAAAGGTGCAGTTTGTTTGTTCGCATAAAATCAAGAAAAATTCATTACAAATAAAAAGGAGACAAAAAAATGTATATTTTCTTTGATGCATTGAATCGCTGATTGCGTACCTATGGAGTCAAAAGATTCAAGCGGGAACAACAAGGCTCTTAAAATTTTTTCAAATCAATACGATTCTTGCATGGAAAACGAGGCTGGTGAGAGGTCTGCGTTTTAAAACTAAACCGTTCAATTCATGCGCGGTTGACGGACGGTAGTCTCGCATCAAATATATCAAAGAAAAAAGGGTAAAAAAGAATGTTTTTTGTCAATATTTTTTTAAATACCAAAACAACATTAATCGACCAGCCACACAATGTTTTTTGTCCGTAACGAATTGAGAACGAGAAAGCGTTTTAGATTTTGTACTCCATGTGGTTATTATTGCTTTAATTTCCATTTTTTCTCTTTTTTCTTCTCTTGAAAAACCGAGCTCGATAACCATTTTTACTTTGTTTCCCCGGATAAGTGAGAGGCCTCGAGCTCGGTATCGACAATGACATATCGAGCTCGATAAACTCGTATCGAGCTCGGTTGCCCAGAAGATTAAACTGATCCTCTAATTCTTAGTAAAATCCAAGATGGTAACCATTTTTGGTGACGTCACAGGCCCCCAGCAGCGCCACCACCCATCAAATATACCTCATCTTGTATAGAAGATCAAAGGCTTTCCAGTTAAGTTAAAATCTTTTCGAAATACTGCAACATCTCAAAAACTGTAGGAAGGGTTCCATCCATCCCCCCCCCCGTCCTTGTACCACGGTGGGGGTATGAATTTGCATGTACGTCCAGGGTTAATCATCAATAATCTAATTACTGGTATTTATTGTATTGACAAGGTCGTTCGTTAGAAAAAATTGTCAGGAATCCAATGCTCTCAACCTGTGAAATCAGATGTGCTTAGCGTCATACTTTCTTGAAAAAAAACTAAGAGTTTCTGGTCGCTCAAGGTGCCACGAAGACGAGTATGCGTGAGTTGCCTGAGGGCCTAGTGGAGCCAAGAACTACAGCTGGGTGAAATGTGTAACTTTAAAAACCCTGTGAGTGGCACCCACCAAGGCACCGTCACTCTGGTAACCAGTGGACCTTATGGCATACTTGCCATAAGTTTTCCAAAGGGTAGGGAGCAAAAACACGAGAAGCACAAGCAGTCAACAGCACCGTGAACGTTATAGCCTGACCTCAGCAGAAAAGCTGTAGAAATCCATTTTCCTGTGTATTAAGAGCGATTAGAGCGCTCCCAAATAATTTCAACTTGAAAGATTGCTTGCCAGTATTGTCTCGAGTTGTACTTAGCTGTAATTTCATACAAATAAACTTTGAGTTCTTTAAATGGCTTTAAAACATCGGGGTTTTTCCTGAAAATCTACCGATTTGTGATTACTTTCATCTCGAAAACCCAGCCGTGTTTCATCATATTCAAAGGCATCCATTAAACATTCATTGGGTTGTATTATGTTCATGAACTATTGATTAAATAGGTTTTCGAAGTTGATTATTTAATATAGAAATTACCAGTGTAATTCCACAAGTCTCCCAATAAATAAACTATGAAAGGTGCCTTATAATAATCTGCCAAATTTGCTCTGGTAGGATGCACTAGTTAAAGAATTCAGCAACTTGTCACCAGAGAAAAAGAGGTTGAGAGCAGATGATTCGTGTTCTAAGACGGTAAGTCATATACAGGTTGAAAGGTAATTTAAAGCAAGCTTTGTTTTCGTTAGTGATTCTCTACAAGAGGTTTTGTTGTTGCTGTAAAAATTTTGATGGCGTCAAGAAGTGATAAGGTAAAGATATAGTTATTATTTAATATAGCCATGCTCAAGATGCAAATGAATCTTTGTAGGTTGCTTTAATTAAGCGATCAGTGTCAATAATGTTAAAATGTTTATCACTGCAAAGTGCACGCTACTCAAAGCAAGTAAAATGAGGTGAAAAGCAGCACTTCTGGTATTCGGTAAGAAGAGCACCTTTCAACAACTCAATAACTTATCAACATCTGTATTTGGCTTTCTTGAACCTGGGTAAATCTCACTCTTAATTGTAGCATAATGTATTTTTCCAGGGAAAAGCCGCTGCAGTGTTTCTTTTTGAGGAAGATGAGGAGGAAATGAAAGTGGACGCCACAGCTGGGTAATAAAGTTATACTTAGTACTCCTGGTTACAATCAACTATCAACTAAGTTGAACACTGATAAAATCCCGTTACAAGTTTCCTTCTAGCTTTATGCCGATATGAATTTGAGACGCAAATGTTCTTCTTGAAATAACCCATTTTTGGAATTTGTATCTCCCAACCATCAAGTCTTAGGAAGGGCTTTGGAAAAATATTAGCTACCCCGGCTATAAACGAAACACTTGTTACTTATGGTCTTTATTGTTGTTACTCTATGTTGCTCTTAGATGCAAGCCCATATGCCAGTACAATAAGAGGCTTACAACTTACGTTAATTACGTAAAATAGTTCACAGGCTCTTTTTTCCTCCAGAGATGACACCATCCAGTATTTTAAAGAAAATCACAACTGTCCCATCTTCAGCAATTCTGCACAGTGTTACAGTACCGAAGAACTCGTATCCATACTCGTCTGTTCGGATGAAGAAACGGTGTGTAAAGAAAGGCCTATTGCTTGTCGGACCAATGCCACTTTTGTTCTGGACACTTCTAGTTTAGCGCAACGAGACGACTAGAAAGCGGATGATAGCGGATCATTTCGCCACCACGGAAAGAAGATTGAATTTGTGGAACTAAATGATGAAGGTGATGTCGTCAAGTTGCATATCAAACCAGCCACGTTGAAAGAAGGCCAGTACAAGTTATCACGTACATATTGGGTGTACAGATCCAACCCTACTTTCAAGAGAAGAGTTTTCGAGCTTGAAGGCAGCAGCGGAAACCTTTCCCCACTCATTATGCTTCAGTATGTATTTGATGGAGATCCAAGCAGTATCGAAGTAAAACCACATGGGAGAGCAGAAAAGAATCCTCACCCTTTCTTTACAACAGCTTCTGGTACACAAATGAAAATATCAAATAAGGTGAGTTCTTCAATGGGACCGTCTTCAATATATGATCAGCTCTACCAAGAAGCACGTGATGTTTTATCTCGAAAAGCATCCGCCGATGTTCCCAGAAGTATAGATCAAGTCAAGTATGAGCGGAAGAAACTTCAAAACCAGCATAAAAAGGATCAGTTAGCTGAGTTAATTAGTCTCTCGAACAATGGCTTTGTGCGAAATGTGCAAGTTGGTCAAGGTGTCAGGACAGTTCTTGCAACCAAGGAACAATTGGCTGATGTTGTTAGGTTTTGCTCTAATCCAGAAGACTATGGTATTTTTGGTATTGATGTTACCTATAACATAGGTGACTTCTATGTTACAACAACAACACACGAGCACCTTGCACTCATCGACAAGGCCACTGGGAATCACCCTGTTTTCCCGGGACCAATGATGGTCCACACTGATGAAAAGCAAGAAACATTCCCATGCTTCGCAAGTACCATGAGGGAGGTGAACTCCGACATAGAAAATGTTCTGTTTGTAGGGTCTGACCAACAACGCTCCATAGAAAATGGACTTGCTCCCCAACTGCCAATTGCACATTTCCTTGTATGTAAGAAGCACGTCAAGGACAACATCAAAATGAAGATGGCAGCGCTAGGCATCCAGGACAAGGCCAACTATCTAATCAAATATTTGGAGACCGAACTTCCAGAGGTTTGATTGATTCAGAATCGAGAGAAGAATTCGAATCAAGGCTGCTACAACTGTAGGACGTCTGGGAAAAGAGGCCAACTGGAAACGAGTTCTATACCTATTTCATGGCTCACATTGCTGAGGACATGAAATGCAAGATGATCCTTCCAATTAGACGTGCAGCAGGTCTGGGTGACAAATTCTTCTACAACAACAGTACAGAAAGTATAAATTCTAGTTTGAAGAGTGAAGTTGAACAGTCAAAACATGCCACTGCACCTGGAAAGCCATCTAAATGTTCCTATGGAGAATTTGTAAGCATTGCTGAAGAGTTTGTGAACCGATATCGACGTAATGTTCATAGGGGAGTTGTTGGAGATGGGCCTTACAAACTGTCTTAAAATTATCAACATGTGGCAGTTACCAAAGATAAGTGGAAGAATATGAGGAAGAAAGAGAAAGCAGCAAAAATCTCCATTGTTGATCCTGTAGGGTACAAGAAACTGCTCACGTTTGCTGCGACAGGTACAAGCACTAGTACGAAATCAGGTTCAAGTCGAACAACTCCTCCGAAAGCTCCTGTTCTTTCCACCATCAACTCTGAACTTAATCCATCAAAAAACTTGCCAGATTTCGAGCCAAGTGGCCTTCCTCAGTATCTGCGAGGATCGTGGAAAAAGGCAAGAGACATTNGGCAGTTACCAAAGATAAGTGGAAGAATATGAGGAAGAAAGAGAAAGCAGCAAAAATCTCCATTGTTGATCCTGTAGGGTACAAGAAACTGCTCACGTTTGCTGCGACAGGTACAAGCACTAGTACGAAATCAGGTTCAAGTCGAACAACTCCTCCGAAAGCTCCTGTTCTTTCCACCATCAACTCTGAACTTAATCCATCAAAAAACTTGCCAGATTTCGAGCCAAGTGGCCTTCCTCAGTATCTGCGAGGATCGTGGAAAAAGGCAAGAGACATTATCAGCAAGAACGGAGTCACAAAAATCAACGATGGCACAAATATTGTAGTTTCCATAACCAATCCCCGCAAACCCCACATAGTCAACTATGTTGGATCAAAGGTCACCTGTGACTGTGAAGGGTTTTAGAGAGAGACTCTCTGTGCGCATGTGATTGCAGCCTCGCACAAGGAAAACTTACTCCGTAATGTTGTGTCATCGTGGAAACCAAGACTATCTGATCTTGTTAGCTCTTCAATTCCTAAGAGAGTAGGAAAAAAACCAGGCCCCCAGAGGTATCGTCCTAGCCGCGTGGCACAAGACAGGAATGTGCAGGATTTAGAGCAGACTTCTCCTACAGAGTACCAATTCCCTGAAGAGGAAAAGTTTACCATTAGGTGGCTGGAAGGATCGAAAGTTACAACGTGTTATGGATGCAAAAATAGATTCAGAAAGACAGCTAGTGATCCTGTACCTCCCGAACCGTACAACATCGTGTTATGCAGAAAGCAGATCAGGGCGTACACACCTAAAGGCACAACAGGCCTCACATTCACTGTTAAGCCCGAGAACACATATTTTCATCTTAAGAAGTCGTCTATCCAGAATGACACGTCTGAGAGGATCGGGCCTGAGAGCATTCGGATCACAGCAGACATAAAGGCCCAACTCAAGCCAATCCACTTAAATAAATTGAAACAAGAATTTGGTGTCAATATTTGACGTTTACATCTGCTTTAATGAAAATATTGTTGGATCAACTTAGGTTTCTGGGAAACTGCCCACCTACCCATCCCCTAAGCCAACATTTTACCCTAAATGAGAAGTGTTAATGTTGTCTTGAGGGAGGGGTAAGTAGGCAGCTTCCCAGAAACCCAAATTGATCCAAATTGTCTACTGTTTAGGTTGAGTTTTGCCCACTTGGGCCTACATGTACAAGTCTTGTACCTATGTTCGATAGTTTCGTTATGTGACGGTGCACCTTATTCTAAAGCGTCATTGGTTTGTTAAACGTACGTTAACTAACAAATCTTTGAAGAACAGTGTGGAAAATAATTTTATCCTGTTTTTGTTAGGAAAGAAGTCAAATCTGGAAGTTAAGTGCAGAATTTGTCAAGTTGTAAAATTAAGAAACGGGCTTTGAAAGTTTTAGAGCTCAAGCCTTTGCTTTTACAAGAGGACATGAAGCGCCATCTTGAGCAAAGTCATAAGAACAAACACAAGTACGAATTTGTACTGTATATCTAATCTAGAACGAAAAGATACCAAGAGATGCTTCGTTTGAAATTTATAGAAAAGTTCTTGTCATGTTAGCTACATTTTGTGATTTTCTAGGAAAGACATATTGTTCCTAAATATTTCTGCTTTTCATTTTTCATCTTAAAATAGCATTATTTTTTGTTGTTGTTCCAGTTAGGGATTTGTCCCTTGTGGGTTTGGATTATTAGAACATGAGAATTTGTGATATGCCTCGTTAATTGGATCGATTGATAAATTTTATTTCATTTTTTATAGTCTGGTAACTTTCATTT